CAGCCCATGGGACACAACATAAGGTCAAGGGAATACACATTCTAACTTTACCCTCCTGCCTCCCTATTTTTTCCCTATGACGATAGAATATGTTCTACCTTTCTCCTTGGCTTGAAGATGTCAGCCTTTTTTCTGTCTTCATGCTGTCTACCTTCTATATGGGTCTCTCTCTGTGTACTAACTTTCTCTTTTTATAAGAACACCAGTTATATGGTATTAAGGCCCACCCTAATGACTTCATTTTAACATGATTAGTTCTGTAATGACTGAAGCTAAATACGGTCACGTTCTGAGCTGCTGAGGGTTAAGACTTTAATGCATGAATTTTGTGAAAACCCAATTCAATCCATAAAAGAGCTCCCTAATGTAATCCACACAGGTAAATCTCAAAGGACCAGTGCAGAAAGAAGCAGGAGAAACAAACTGTAGAGTGGATCGATCTGAAGACACCCAAACATTTAGAGTCTACTGTGTAATATAGATTAGCATAGCCTATTAAGGAAAGTAAGTACTTCTTTGATTATGTGACTAGTCTCTTACTTAAATATCCTCCAGTAAGTCTCTATTGCATACGATGTAGTTCACAGTTCTTACTGTGCCATTTGATGACCTGTGCAACCTGAGTACCACTGCATTTCCATACCCAATTTTTATTCCTCCCTACCTAAATGATCTCAAATTATTACCTTCCTTTCTTCTTTTGATACCTGTACTTATTAAGGAACACCCTTCTCCTATTATCATCTAACAAAGTAATATAATGGCATTCAGGCTTTGTATCTGGTTCTATATCACTTGAGAAAATATATGCCAATGTGTGGATTTCATTGGTACACGCCAATCTTCTAAAGTGTCATTTACTGTTTATGTAGATCGTATACCCCTTTTCAAAACTTATTGTAATTTATTGCATGTGTAATACAATAAATTTTGTATCCAATGCATGTAGATGACTGTGCATAAACAATTGCTGGTAAATTATTCTCTCAAGGATAACTAAAGATGTTCTCATTTGTTCTAGTTTATTTGGCTTTGCAGAGATTGTAGAATAGAAGCTGCCTGCCCTCAAAGTTCCAAACCAATAAATTCTCCCTGAGACAGTTTTAGAAGAACTGACAGAGCTCTTGTGAATTACTTACAAATTAGGATACTGACTCAGAGCTTAAGTCTAAGGCAACAAATAATTTTTAAAAATTCATGGCAGTATTTTTAATTGGTAGACACTTAGAAAAATCTAAAGTGCCAAAGTTGAGGAGGTCAGAATAGCTAAACATAACTCTCTTTGAATCCCAAATTCTACCCTCTTCAAGGACAAGGTAGAAATTAAGCAGTGACTTTAAATGGAAAAGAAAAAATCCCATAATATACTTGGTATTAAAGGCAAATTAAATTAGCATATTAATAAAATTATGTTTTATTATATAATTATAATGTAATATTATAGTGTAATATGTGCAATAAAGATTATAAGTAGTATATATTAACATTATATATACACATAATTATTATAACTATACCAACAGACATAAATAAAATACAACACAAGACTATCATAATTGTGTTTTACAGAAAATACATGCGCCACTATCTTCAGCTTCTCAGCACCTTCTGCCTTAATGCTCTACCTGGTGGCATTCAATAGTGCAGTGACAAATGCACACCCATTTGCATTTTGCCTCATAACATACTCTATGCTATTTTTCTGCTTTCTAACTTTACTGCTTTGTCCCATTTCTGTCCCTTTCATTAAAATATGAGCACCAGCTATAGCTAATTTCTCACTAAAATAACTTTAGTATGTGTGCTTTTAGTATCTTTATTATGCCAAAGTATATTTCACCTGATTTTAAGCACTCCAACCCTTCCTGCTTTTGTTATTTTAAGCAATCACACATTTCTTTTTTAAAAGGGCCACACTGCTCTGCAGAACAGCTTATCCTTCCTTGTTCTAAAACATAATGAGCCAGGTTACTTCTTCATAGAGCATATTCGTTTTGCTTTTTCTGAGACAGGTCTTCATCATGGGCCTAGCACAATTCTGCTGTCCTTTTTCTTCAAGGTTCTATAAGGGTATGAAAGAAAGACCCTTCTCCTATATTCATATTCAAGAGGAAAGCCATATTTCAACAATAACAAAATAAAAGAGTATAAAATTCGGGGTGAAATATGTGCACACCATTTACCTTTACTAACAAGAACATGTTAATGGTCAAAAAATTATAGCTTCAACATTCGTGAATTGTGTTCAACTCACAATTGAGGTTTTTGCTTTTTTTTCTCCCCAGGACTGTTTTTTTTAAAGATACAGAAAAGTAAAACTAATGGAGCTTCACTTTTGTACTTTATAGATGATAATCACAGAGAAAATATATTTCTATAAATTTTTTACAACATTAAAACACAAAAGACCTGAGAAGTAATATTTCTGAGTTTAGTTAGATCAAATATAACCAGGATATCAACTACTTTTTGATAAAAATAAAAAGCAACAGTGTATGTAAAATGGAACAACATTCCAGTCATATAACATAAAAGAAAGTGATTTTTTGGTTAAGTACTCTTAACAGTGCCATTTTGTAATAAGGATAGTAAAAAATAGGTATTCTTGGGATTTTAAAAATCTTACACATTTAATATTTCTTTTAAAGAAGACTAGTGTTTTGTTATTTTAAAAACTACCACCTGTGTGTTTAGTAGAAACAATGATCAGGTCAGGGGCAGGAGATCTGGGTTCTAATCTTGCTCCATTACTGACTAGCAAGTGATAGAGAAAGCTGTCCATCTTCTATGAGTCTCAGCTTTCAAATATGCAAAATGACTGCCATAGGCTGAATTGTGTTTCAGTCAAAATTCATATGTTGATGCACTAGGCATCAGTCCTTGAGAATGTGACTATATTTGGAAATAGGATCTTCAAAGAAGTAGCATGCTAAAATAAGGTCATTAGACACATTTAATCCAATGTGTCTGGTGATCTTATTACAAGAGGAAATTAGACCATAGATACATAGAAAGGGAAAATGATGTGTAGACAAAGGGTGAATACAGCCATCTGAATACAAGTAAAAGGAGACCTCTAAAGAAATCAAACCTGTTGTCATTTTAATTTCAGAATTGTGAGGCTAAATTGCAACTGTGATATTAAATTGCCTATAGAATAGTGAGAAAATTAATTTCTGTTGTTTGAGCCACCTTGTCCATGATACTTTATTATGGTAGCCCAGCAACCCAGTGAAATAGGCATTACAAGTTTTACAGTGATTAGATGTAGTTATGTGTGTGTAAAGCATATGATACATGGAAATTGTTTAGTGTGGGCTAATTAATACTGTCTCTTCTGCTAGTCATTTTACTGGACACATCATTTATAATTCTTATCTTTACTTGATCTTGAACATACAGCAGTTCTTTGCTGTTGGGGGAAAAACAGGAATTCAATTCATATTACATTTCTCTAGCTTGGTTCAAGGGACCTGTGACTTCACACTTACAGATTTTGGAGTGAGAGCAGCTTTGAGACTGTGTCATTTTCTAGTTATGTCATTATCTGTACTTAATTTCCCTGTCTGTCAGTTTTGCATCTGAAAAATGTAGATAATAATTATAATTGTCTATAGGAATAAATCCATATATGTAATATAATTAGTACTGGACATAAATTGCTGGTAAATAAATGGTAATTATGATTTTTTGAATATACTTTTTTACTCTCTTCCAACCATGCCTGAGGCCAGAACAGCTTCTGTAGGTTTTCCTTCTGTCTCTCCATGATACAATCTGTCATTTTGCTTCAGGAGCCCATCTATGTCTTTCATGATTTGATTCTTTCTCCCACCCAAGGCTCATGCACTTGCTTCCCTACAGATGATGGTGGTCCGTGCCCAGGGAAATTATGACCATAGCTAAGATGTCACTGTCCAAAGTGCACTGGCCCCAACATTTGTTATTTAGGAGATTAAAATGATGAGGAAAGATGTTAAATGTTGTATGTCTGTGTCATGACACTTTTAAGTACAGTAACACTAAAGCATTAAGAAAACAAACAAAAAAAGATGTTTTATTAAACAGCATCTCAGAGGTCATAAAATGCTATGTTCGTTTTGAGTATTCTGGGTTGGGGGTAGATGTGATATAGGCTTTCCTTGATTTATTTGATAACAAATTATTTTTTGGTCAATTTTCTGTACATTTCTGTAGTCTAGATAATAGAATTTGGGTAGTTCTTGCACAATAAAGGTAGAACTTCCTTAAAACCTCTCATTTAACTTTTTTCCCAGTCTCTGTTCAGGACTCTTTTTCCTTCACTTGTATTGACTTTAAATAGATATTTCCTTTTATTAAATAATCTACTGCCAAAAATAATTCAGTCTACATACTGGCATATGACTATGGTATGTGTTTTCAGCATCACTTAAATAAATAAAAAATATACAACAAAAAAGCATTACATCTATATTAAAAATTAAAATTAAATAAAAATCAAAGAAGAAAAAGGAAAAAAAATTATTTATCGGATTGGCAAACTGATTTATTTCAGATGTTCTAGGGATAGGGTCACCTTCAAACACAGCTTTTGAAAAATATGAATCATACACCTTAATTACTCGACCTGGATTGTGGTGCGCCATTTTAATATTCTTCTTTATGCTTTTCGGGAAGTTCCACAGTTTCTACACTGAATGTAATTTACTTTGTTTATCAAAATAAATTACCAGTTTGTTTGATTTGTTACAACTGCCCTAAAAGAAAAATATGAGGCTTTCATGGATCCTTTGTAAATCTCCTTATCAAAGTTCATTGATAATATAATTCCTATAATATTCTCTTCTCAGTATAATTTTTAGAATATACAGAAAAGCTTGACAAACATTAATTCATACAGATGCACATGTTAATACTAATCAGGATAACATCAATTTTGAAATGACAAGGACAATATTAAGAGGGATAGCCTTTGCTACTTAATGAGATTAAGTGGAAAAGAAATAAGTGTATCCTACCTGATAAGCAGTGTATACTTTTGCCCGTTATCCACTCTAATAGTAGTATTAATGCTTTTCAATTTTGCCTCACCAGGACAGTAAAGGTGGTACTGTTGGGAGAAAAAGGTTTGACCTCAGTTTCTCAGCATGAAATTAATATTTTATTTTCAAAATATTAATATTCAAATATTAATGTTAATATTTGTACTGGACTTTATAATTAATCAGAATATTTTACATCACTTTGGAGAGACATGAAGTTTGAAACTTAAAGACAAGTGATAGCTGAAGGTTTACAAGTAGCAAGCTCTAAATTTAATACACATAAATATATGAGTATTATAGAGATATAAATGCACACGCATACCTGTCTACACACACAAACACACACAAGTCTAGGTTCTTTTTCAATATTCTGAGGAACATGGTTGAGAAAGGCAAGTACCTCTACCAGCAGAAAGCAAGTATTATTGGAATTGTCCTTACAAAACAGCAGTTAAGCTACTAACACAATAGCAGTTGAGCAAGGCAAAGAGTGGTTAATACAATTTAGAGGACAGTATTAATGTCACAGAAAGGGAAACTTCAAGACTGTGAAAATTAGCCATTCATTCCAAGCTTCTGAGATGTCAGGGTATCTAGGTCCATTTGTAGAATTACTGTTAATGGCAACTAAGATATGAACTAGAGAGGAAAACGCATGTCTATATCAGGTATGATTGACCAAGCACCCCCAAAAATTCCATGGATGTGCTACAGTGTCTTATTAAGCTTCTTAGCAATCATGTGTCTACATGTATATTGATTATACTGTGTCTATTCTTTCCCAGAGAGGGGCTTTAATGTTTTTATGGTATCTAAAAGTGATCTATAACCCACATGTGTTAAGAAATTCACTTGCATAGTGTTTCATAACTTGTGCCCCTAGCTATATTTAAGCTGAAATACCCAAATCCTCTCACATGTAGTCCAAAGATAAAGATAATGCTATATATTTTAACTTTTTATGATATTTGGCCTTTGCAAAATACTCCTTTCCTTTATAAGATTATTTACTGTCAGCAGTCTTTAAAAACTCCAATAAGAAGCATCAGGAAGAATTATCAGAGACTTGTGGATTGTAGGTGAAAACATCTTACGAAATATCATACTACCAAGACTGATGGATAGCCACTGTTTTCCCTGTCAAATGGGAAAAAAATTAATTCGGCTGGGCACGGCGGCTCAAGCATGTAATCCCAGTACTTTGGGAGGCTAAGGCTGGCGGATCACAAGGTCAGGAGTTCAAGATCAGCCTGACCAAAATGGTGAAACCCCATTTCTACTAAAAATACAAATATTAGCCAGGCATGGTGGCGTGAACCTGTAATCCCAGCTACTCGGGAGGCTGAGACAGGAGAATCACATGAACCTAGGAGGCAGAAGTTGCAGTGAGCCTAGATTGCACAACTGCACTGCAGCCTGGGGGACAGAGCGAGACTCAATCTCAAAAAGAAAAGAAAAAATTAATTCACAATACGTTAAACGTATTTTAGGAACCGTAAAACTAATGAGTGGAGGACTTCCGCCCAGATGGCTTAAAGGGAGCTTCTCTGGAGGGGAGCTCCCAGTGAGACACAAAGTAAGAGTGATTTCCGTGTCTCTGAAGAAGGTACTGGGTTCTTTTCAAAGGGACTGGTTGAACAGTGGGATTGACAGCCCCTAAAAAGGCAGCAAGAGCAGCCCAAAGAGGGCAAGCCAAGAAAGGGCGGGGCTCTGCCCCACCCAGGAAGTGCACCTGGCACAGAGGATTGGGGGCTTCACCCCTTCGGTACTTCAATTCAGATACTGTGCTTCACTGCATGACTTCTGCAGTCCACAATCCAAGAAAGCGCTGCCTGGCTGAGAACCACCCCGAGCCGCAGCCCTAGGTGACTGCACCGGCCAGCCTGGTGCCGAGAATTGTCGGCACAGACCAGGGTGGAGACTTTAACACCAAGAAGGTTTGCGGATCCAAACTGCCTGTCCCACAGAAGGAAGGAGAGTTTAAAGTAGGGAGTTGGATGATACAGCCAGACAGGTCCCACCCCAACAAGATCCAGCAAGTGGAAGCCTCTCGCAGGAGAGTTTCCCAGTTGACAAATGAGACTGAGCTCCATTCCAGACAAACCAGCTCGGCAAAGGGAAAGACCTGCCCTTGGGAAGGTGGGGATAATTTCACCAGTGTAAACAGAAACCAGGAGAAGAGTAAGCAGCAGCCTGGCTGAGACCAGCGCAGCCCAGCAGCGCCTCCACAGGCAGACAAGGGACAGACTGTCTTAAGCAGCACACTGAACCCTGTGTAAAAAAAAAAAAAAGCCTCATATAGGAGCAATAACCCCAACTTTAACAGAAGGGATGTCCACTCAGAGACCCCAACCAGTATCACTAACTTCAAAGATAGATAAATCCATGAAGATGGGAAGAAACCAGTGCAAAAAGGATAAAATCATCACAGTCCAGAATGCCTCTCCTCCCCTGAGAACAAAACAGGACACAGACTGAATTTGACAAACTGACAGAAGTACAGAGCAGGCTTCTGAAGGAGAGTAAAAGTCTTTCAGCTCAGACTTCTTTGAGCTAAAAGATCATGTTCTAACCCAAAGCAAAGAAACTAAGAATGCTGAAAAAGGTTAGATGAAATGCTAACTAGAATAGCCATCCTAGAGAAGAGTATAAACAACTTGATGAAGAAGCTCAAAAACACAGCATGAGAACTTTGTGAAACATACAAAAGTTTCAATAGCCAAATTGACCAAGCAGAAAGGATTAGAGATTGAAGATTAACTCAATGAAATATAAAGAGAAGGCAAGAAAAGAGAAAAAAGAGTGAAAAGAAAGGAACAAAGCTTCCAAGAAATAAGAGGTTATATGAAAAGACCTAATCTATGATTGACTGGTGTACCTGAAGAGGACAGGGAGAATGAATCAAAGCTGAAAAATACTCTTCAGGATATTATCCAGGAGAACTTCCTGAACCTAGCAAAGCAGGCCAACATTCAAATACAGGAAATACAAAGAATATCACAAAGATAATCCTCCAGAAGAACAACCTCAAGGCAATATTTATCAGCTTCACCAGGGTTTAAATGAAGGAAAAAATGCTAAGGGCAGTCAGAGAGAAAGGTCGGGTCACCCACAAAGGGAAGCCCATCAGACTCACAGAGGATCTCACAGCAGGAAACCTACAATCCAGAAGAGAATGGGTGCCAATATTCAACATCCTTAAAGAAAATAACTTTCAACCTAGAATTTCATATCCAGCCAAAGTAAGCTTCATAAGTGAAGGAGAAATAAAATAATTTATGGACAAGCAATTACTGAGAGATTTCATCACCACCAGAACTGCCTTACAAGAGCTCCTCAAGGAAGCACTAAATTCGGAAAGGAACAACCAGTACCAGGCAGTGCAAAAATGAACCAAATGGTAAAGACAAACAACACAATGAAGAAACTGCATCGACCAATGGGCAAAACAAACAACTAGTAACAAAATGACAGTATCAAATTCACACATAAAAATATTAACGTTAAATGTAAACAGCCTAAATGCCCCAATCAAAAGACACAGACTGGCAAATCGGATAAAAAGTCAAGACTCATCAGTGTGCTGTATCCAGGAGACCCATCTCACATGCAAAGACACACACAAATTCAAAGTAAAGGGATGGAAGAAGGTCTACCAAGCAAATGGAGAGCCAAAAAAAGGAGTGGGAATCCTAGTCTCTGATAAAATGGACTTTAAACCAACAAAGATCAAAAGAGACAAAAAAGGGCATTACATAATGGTAAAAGGATCAATACATCAAGAAGAACTAACTATCCTAAATATATATGCACCCAATACAGCAGCACTCAGATACATAAAGCAAGTTCTTAACAACATATAAAGAGACTTAGACTCCCATACAATAATAGTGGGAGATTTCTTAACACTCCACTGTTAATATTAGACAGATCAATGAGACAGAAAATCAACAAGGACATCTACGACTTGAACGCAGATCTGGAACAAGCAGACCTAATAGACATTTACAGAACTCTCCCCTCCAAAGCCACAGAATATACATTCTACTCAGCACCATATCACACTTACTCTAAAACTGACCACATAATTGGAAGTAAATCAATCCTCAGCAAATGCAAAAGAATGGAAATCATAACAAAGTCTCTCAGACCACAGTGCAATCAAATTAGAACTCAAGATTAAGAAGCTAACTCAAAACCGCACAGTTTCATGGAAACTGAACAACTGGCTCCCAAATGTCAACTGGATAAACAATGAAATGAAGGCAGAAGTAAAGATTTTCTTCAAAACCAATGAGAACGAGGACACAACATACAGGAATCTCTGGGACACATTCAAAGCAGTGTCTAGAGGGAAATTTACAGCAATAAATGCCCACATGAGAGGCAAGGAAAGATCTAAAATAGACACCCTATCATCAAAATTGAAAGAGCTAGTGGAGCAAGATCAAAAAAATTCAAAAGCTAGCAGAAGACAAGAAATAACTAAGATCAGAGCAGAAGGAAGGAGAAAGAGACACAAAAAAACCTTCAAAAAATCAATAAATCCAGGAGCTGTTTTTTTTTAAAGATCAACAAAATAAACATACTGCTAGCCAGATTAATAAAAAAGAAAAGAGAGAAGAATCAAATAGATGCAATAAAAAATGATAAAGGGGATATCACCACTGATTCCACAGAAATGCAAGCTACCATCAGAGATTACTACAAACAACTCTATGCACATAAACCAGTAAACCTGGAAGAAATGGACGAATTCCTGGCACCCTCCCAAGTGTAAAACAGGAAGAAGTTGAAACCCTGAGTAGACCAATACTAAGGCTGAAGTTGAGGCAGCAATTAATAGCCTACTAACCAATAAAAGTCCAGGTACAGATGATGTCACAGCTGAATTCTACCAGACGTACAAAGAGGAGTTGGTACCATTCCTCCTGAAACTATTCCAAACAATACAAAAAGAGAGAATCCTCCCGCATTTTAGGAGACCAAAATCATTCTGATACCAAAATCAGGCAGAGACTAAACAAAAAAAGAAAACTTCGGGCCAATATCCATGACGAACACT